TAGCCAGTGGTGCTTTCTTGACTGTGCTTACCGAAAACGGTGAAACAAGTGATCTGGTCATGGAAGCGGCCACCGGTCGTCTGTTCCACAAGCCGACTGGTCATTTGGTCAGTTTGGCTGATGGCGCTGCGACACAAGCAGAACAAACTCATGTCGACGCTCAGGTCGCCGACTACGGCTATGAAGATGAACAAGGAGCGACGAGCACAACTGCTCAACCAGTCGATCAAGCATCCACGCAACAAAATGGTACGTTAGTAGAGGGGTCCGCGGATCAGGCGGAAGTGATTGATCCTGTGTCCCAGCAAGAACAGCTTTTAGCTCAAATGGCTGAAAATGGAGAGGTGATCGATTTGAACACCTTATTTCCGGGTGTAACTGTCACGGAAGTCTCGCCCGGTGTGTGTCTTGTGACCAAACCGAATGGCGATCGCTTTAATGTAAGTATTTTTTCGTGTTACATGATCCGCTTTTCTGCGTGCTCTGGGAGGTGTTAGCTGTTATTTAACAGGTTCAGAAATTGCAAAGAAACGTTTCTCTACCCACTGATTCAAGTGCTAAAATCGATGCATGTCGGGAACTCTCAGTTTGGTTGGAACTTTCCCAGATCAATTTTGGTAACAAGTGAATGTGCTGTCTTGTGCTCTGATCGACTTGGTTAAATTTCTTTGCTACATTCTCGTTGTATCTAGTATGGACGATGAAAATTTTCGATCCACAATCTTACCTCACCACCGCCAAGTATACAACTGTGAGTTGTTAATCCGCCACGCTCTACTTGGATTTAAAAAAGTTAGAAGTAGCGATCGACTCATTCATTTGCATTGCTGTTTGGCATTGCGTTCATGGTGAATGGAATAATTTATTAGCTTTTAGCAGAACTGTCTACCATCTGGAATACCGTTCAATGACTTTATGTGAGAAGCGATATATTTGCCAAGTCCGGCAGTCTGACTTGACCCATGTAAAACACAATGCTCAAAGTGATGAAGACATTTAACCTGTCATCCGTCAAAACTTCGTTTGTAGTCTTCTTCTTGCTGTCCAGCATATCGGATGCCGCNNGCTATTCTATTCGAAGTTGTTCTATTTCGGGGATTGGTGTTGCGCGAATTCTGGAATCCCATTTTAAATGGTATTCCAAATACTATATGAACTGTATGTTACCCGGGGATGTCTGAAGTTCGTGAATAGAGAAACGACCAGCGAATTGATGGTAAACTGTGAATGACACGGTTTGAGGCTTACTGAATAAACAGTCGTAATTGTAGGTAGTACTTGAGGACGTGATAGGTCTTGGCTTGATAACGATGTTCCCCCTCTGAGAATCTGACGACGGTGAAATGCATTCAAACTATTTGTTTGAAGACTCATTTTTATTCTTAAATCAATCAAACTGATTGTATTTGTGGTGTCAAACTTCCCCGAGTTTTGTTTTAATTTACGGCGGGAAATGATATTTTGAGTGACTCTTATCTTGTTCTGGGTTGTCGTTAGCCGCTGCTGTACAGAAGTTCTTAGTTCTTAACGTCGTTCGGATAACAAGTAGAATTGTGTGATACATTTATTTCATCCTTATTACTTTTGATTCCATTATCAATTTTTTTCCGAAAATTATTTCAGCAATCATACAAAAAACGTAATTTTATTAAGCTTCCTTAAAATGTCATCCATATTTCGCTGAACATTTTATCGCAATAACGGATACAACAAATTAAGTGCCCTGTTTGTGACAAGGCAAGTCTTTATGAACACAGAACAAGGTGTCTAACATCAATGAATAAGTTAATTGTGAAACATGCATTTTATCCGTAGTACGTTTTCTTTTATAAGTGCAGCCCATTTCCTTCAATGTGAATTCGGCGTGGAGCAACTGGCGGAATTGGAACGAAATTTGTCAAATGACAGTGCATATGCTAAATTTGTAGGTTTAAGTTATGTTATCTTATGAGTGCTTAGGTGCAACAATTGATGAAATTGGTGGGACATACAGTGAAACGTGCCATCTCTACGGGACTGCATGAATTGTTAGTTTTGCTGATGGATTCCACCGGAAAACACGAGAAAATACAAGCCTACAGTCGTTTGTTTATTAAAAGTGTTCCGGTTGTAATTATAATAAGATATACATTACTTTACTAGATGCTATTCGGACGAACCCCGGATTTATCGACGTTTCAATGGATTATGTTGAACGCGAAATACGCAAGTGGTTCAAAAATACGGCGGACAGAATTGCCGTCAGAAAATCACGACCGGAAAGTTTTTCACATCTAATAACATATATATACTACTGAATAAAATTTTTAGTCAAATTTTCTGGAATTTGCTCGCATTTTTCGATTCCATGAGGCATGCAGTGAGGGAAGAGAATAACTATAGTATAACGGATATTCGAGCATAAATATCAGGAAGTATTACTACCTTGATAACCATAGCGGTGCGTTTTTTGCGATTATTCTGCTCATACAACAGCAGTTTTCATCAGGCTTACTGTAAGCTTGCTTTACAGTAGAAATGACCTAACGAATGTGAAAAAATGTATATTATATGAACCAAACCACTCCCAAGATCCATTTCCAAAGAAAACAGCACATCGCAATAGTGCAATATTTACTTCCAAAATCATATCGCTGCAAATATACATGGCCCATGCTGTCGATACAATTGGCCGTCGCGACATCCGGCTGTTTGTGAAGGGTCGAGTATATGCTGCAGCAGGTCGGCCAGTTCTGCTTTACGGGGCAGAGACTTGGTCATTACGGGAACAGGATAAAAATAGATTGTCGGTGTTCGAACACCACTCTACGTAGCATTGCACGAGTCTGGTGAAGAAACCGGACTAGCAATGTTGAGGTTAGGCGTAAAGTTTTAGGTAATCGCGGTCGTCCACTGGAACAGGTAGTCGACCTTCGTAGATTATGCTGGTTGGGACATGTGCTACGCGTGTCACCAGATAGATTGCTTGGCGAAGCAGGTAGCGGTTGGAAAAAAATGAAGGACGGTCAAGTTAAGACTTGGCATGAGGGCATGCAAACCCTGACCAGAAGACTGGCTCACATGGGTCCCATTAGGCTCCTTGGCTGGGGACCCAGAGATCATGGTTACCGATGGTCAGAGACACTGAGTAATATGGCTGGGTGTCGCAAACAGTGGCGCTCGTGCATCTCATTACTCATCATGGTTGCAACTCCAGTCTATATGAATTCTCCATCTCTCGCTTGAATTTATTTTCAACATTCCGATTTTCATTCTGCTCTTTTATCCGAATAGGACACCAAAAGGTAGCAACCCGAACCGGCGCACAAAGGTGCATGGTTAATGGTTGTAAAAACCGAAAACTGGGGTTCGAAAGACTCCACAGCTGATTGATTGAAGACGCGGAAGGACATGGCAGCGAACCGACTGCAGTCTCGTTTTTGTTGTCATTTGTTATCAGGCCGGAATGCTTGAAACGTTATATATATATATATATATATATATATATATATATATAACGAGAGAGAGGGCGAGTTGAATTGTGTACTCTCTGTTGACCATTAAGGTTCGCTTTCTTCACCCTCCCTCAAAATAGGTCCAGTCCACCTTATATTTTACCACTAAAGTAGTATGCATTGCGAGTTTGCTCCAACGTATTTCGCCGTTCGATGATATAGATGAGTAGCAAACTGATGCACAAGTTTCGCGGCTATCTATTTCAATGCATATATCCACTTTACTAGGGACATGCTCATTCCTTGGCTCTCTGTTTCATATCTTTGAATGTTTTGTTCGTTAAACTTATCCTGCCGGATTTTTCACTGTTCTACTTTGGGCCGCATCTCTTGAGGTTTACGGCCTACGATCACTCCTTATTCCGATTGTACGCGTATTTGATCAAAATTTTCCCCTTTTGGATTTCAGGTTGAACACGGTGGTGAAGGAATCACTCTGGAAACCTTACAAACTATATTGCAAATGGATGCCTAATTTCCCCCATGCTTTTGACAAGGCGTACTCCTCATTCTCCTCTCGCTCAGTATCCTGTCGAATTTGCGGACAGCGCACATTCTCCGTGAACCATGCAACCATTTGACTATGCTGTAAATAACTAATAACCGAACGTGTCCCCCTCCTCCGCTCACGTTCGGACAGGTTTTATACACAAACTGTCTGTCTGTCTGTCTGTCTGTTATTCACACGGAAGGATCCGGGACGCGTTCCTCATGACTGATGTCATAGCTTTCATCTTTTCTTTTCTTCCTTTCTCTCTCTCTCATCACTTTCAAGGTGTACAAAAGATTTATCTGTATGACCAGTTAGTCTTCATCCGTTTGTCGGGACTCATAGCGATGATTGCTACCCCCGCTCCAACTCCCTACTCACCTGTGCTCATCCAGTTTTAAGATTCCATACGTGCATCCATCTTTTTTATTTACTAGCCATCGTTACCTTGTGCTTCTATTGCCACGGTTGCTGCCTGAATCATACACACACACTTTCGTGCTAATCGAGTTTGTATATTCATGTTTTCTTTTCTACGTGTACATGCTTATCCATCCATGCCTCCTGTCCTTATTTTGTTTTGTTACTTGCTGTTGCACCTCGTACATTGGTTGAGTGCTGTTTTCTGGCCTGAAATCGCGCTGCACACGAGTTTCGCTGCCTTCATCTCCGTTAACCCCTTTCCAAATTTGATGCTCCATCCGCGAGGATCATAGTTACGTTTTGTTAGTCTTCGCTCAAGACTGAATGCAAGACTCACCGTGATCGTTCATCATAGTCGTCGAATTCTCGGGACTGTGTAGGAGTGAGTCAGTGGAACTTAAAGGGATATCCCAGACGTTTTGTTGGTTAACCTCCATTAATAATTGAAACACCGAAGGCAACGAATCGTACCAATCGATCACGAACCTTAACGCCACGGTAATGTACTTCGGTGGAGTTTTAGCCAGGTGAAAAACCGATGCGTTCGAGTGTAAATAACGCTGCCCACGTTTATGCACTACGAGCCATGTTCATTAAATCGTACTAACTGGAACCTAGCCAAAATTAATTACAGTTTATCCCATATCTGAAAACAAATGAACGAGTATAAAGTGCGTCGATTACCTCCAGTTGTGCGAAAATTCTAAACGGATTCAGTAACTCGCAAACAACTAAGTCACCGTTGATCAAACAAGAAGGCCTGTGGTAGTGGCAGACGTGTTACGAAGTACCGTGGCACAGGAAGTGAACCGGTACGCGTTAAGGCCCGAAAGCAACACAAAACCAGCGAGCATGATAACGTACAAAACGACCAAAAGCGAAAGAGTAAAGGTCTTCGAGCGGAAGGCTGCAGCAGGTAGCAATCGTGAACAGCGGTTGTCCCAGTGCGTTGGTACTGCAATCAATTTGTGAGCTTAACGTGCACTGCAGAGAGCAAGTGATGTCTGGCAGAACGTCTGAAATTGTCCGGATTTCCCCATAGACCCGAACACAATGAACGTAGCACAATTGGATTCGAGAATATTGGCATCCCAAAATATTAGAGGGTCACCTTCGTCGTCAGACCACATGCGGTGTTCTCATCGATGAAATGTTCCTCCACTAGAAACCGAAACTTCAGATTTAATTGTTCAATCTTAACCGGTCGTTCGAGGGGATTTTTAGGAAAAATTACAAGGCGTGGTTTGCTCCAAAAGCGCTGTTAGAGTCAGAGTCCACAACTTTTCCGATAAACTGGTTTTAACTGTAATGGTTCCGAGAGGAAGTTATCAAGATCAAGCTTTCTTCGACATCGGATTTTCTTAATATCACGGGGAAGGGGGGAATTGAACTGACCTTGTGGTGTCTGGAACTCTCGTCCACGGATAATCTAATCCGGGGAGTGTGTCCTACCTGTGCCTTGTGAGTGTTAATTAGTGGCCAGGGGTTGTTCCGCCTTTTGGAACGACGCTAGCGGTGCAAGAGCTCGGACTTCTTTGCCCGGAGACAACCTCCTGTCAGTGTGTTTCGATTGGATTCAGATCTGTGGTCGGTCCTTACATATTACTGAAGTGAAACTTTTGCTATTTTAGTGAAATAACACGTTATCTCAAGCTTTTGTACGTACCAAGGTACAACTGCCTCTAGGATAATACCGCTTTTCCATCGAGTTTCATTAACAAGGTCGTTTATCGTGCTTTTTGCGTAGCGTTATACTCAAAAGTATACTTTTTTGTCTCACGCAAAAACAACTAGTATATACGCAGGTTGGCGTTTTCACTCTTTTATTCGTTCTTTTGGTTTGATAGAAGCCATTTCGCGCGTAACGGACGATTGTTTGTCTTCTAGGTGCGGTCGAAGAGTTGCGAAAAGCATCCAGTGCGAAAGATAAGCCCATCCGCAGTGCTCCGGGATCCCCAGCAAAGTATATAGGCTTTATCGGCAGCACAAGTGGGCCATGCAAAAAAACGAAAAGGGCGGGTGGGAACCGGAAATCTGATGACCAGTACCAACTGAACTGTCACGCATAAAACACTGTTGAGAGATTACATACCTCCCACATACTGTTTGAAACATTGTTTGCAAAGATATATTTCAAGGGGCTTTGTTGAGAACCCCATATAATTCAGTCAGGAGAATCGCAACCGGTCTACCTGAGGCTAAGTCAATATCTATTGCAGTCTATCTCATGACCGAAAGTAGGTGAACGGAAAGCATGAGACAACAGAATCGCCTACAAAGAGCGCGATTAATTTCTGGATTCCAAACCGACCGCCAAGCCGGTTCAAAGCACATCGGAATACTCACGCGAACATTCTGAGAGATGCGCCTGACGCATTATGCATTGGACGAACGAGATGAGTCGATTGAACGAACACTTCCCCAATGTTTCGAGATGCGCTACGCACGAAATCTTTCATTTCTATAGTGCGCAGCAGTAAGCGTGGGTTAATCGAACAACCGATGTGTCGCTACACGTTTTGTTCAGAAAACCTTCACTTTTGTCGGAACTTGCATGTGCATTGGCACAACTCATTCGTGTGTGTACTGTGTTGCCACAAGACAATATCCAGAATGCACGTGGAATCTCATTCTCACGGCCAATTACGACGAGCATTGCCGTACACTGTAAAGAATCCACGTCTCAGATTGCTCTTCCGACCGTAGGTCAGGTTTCTAGGACGAAGACAGGCTTTCGCCTAACGTGCGTCCAGATTCATACACCAGTAGGATTTGGGACTTCCTCGGGTGCTACGACGTGAATGTTGTTTTCGTGGGTTGTTTTGATTCATTTACCTTCTCTAGATTCGGACAGCTACCCCAGCGAGCAACAATACCAGGGGTTTACTTCGGGTGCTACTGTCTAGAGTTAATTCAAAAAGGTTTACTGAGGGAGGAAAGGTAAGAATAAGAAACTAACAGTGCCATTGTGTAGTCGCGCTTTCGCACTCATATTAGAGACCGGCAGTTGTAGCACATTCAGCACTGGCCAGCAAGGCGAGCATCGTGTCACTTTTTTGTGCGATGTTTGTTTCTTGTATGCCTCGTGTGTTGCAATGGTGAGTGGTTTGCTTAGATATGTTCGGGTGCATGCTGTATGGTATACGATGTATGAGAGCGTGGTGGGCTTTTCGT